AGGGGAATCTGTGATCAGATACGTTCTATGAAAAAAAAAGAAGAAAAGAGTGCACATAACAGTTTTATAAAAGTAGACTGCTATTTGAATAAAAAAGATGATGGCTCTTATGAAAGAAAACATAACAAGCATGTGGAAATATAATTTATTACTAAAACGCTTTTTATGCCAGATACCAAACTTTATAAACTTACAGAATTCCTAATATAAAAGAACAGTTACAATACAATAATATAATTTAAATTTATGTATGTTTCAGCTCCATTTAGTGCTATAACATTGTGTTATTGGACATGTTCATGCCAAAACTTCATTTTCTTGCCAATACAACTCATGAGGTAGAATTTGTTCTTTCAACTATACATATGAGAACTCTCGGATGTGGGCAGATTTAAAAAAAAACAAATGGCTCAGTATGTAAAACAAGCAAATAGCAGAGCTGGAATTCAAGTCCATGCTTCTGATGAGCCATCTGTGTCCCCATTGCTACATCAAGCACTCACAGTACTTTATTAAAGTAACCTACCTTCTCTTTGTCTAAGGCGATACAAAGATTTGAGATTTTCAAGTCTTTCCAGTAAAAATAATGTGCTCATCTATAAAAAAAAAAAAAAAAAGGCTCTCAGGTAGTCTAACAAAGTGATTTCTGAGGAAGAGCTTTGCAAATCTCTCAATAAGAAAGAGAGGCAAATAATTCTAGTGAGCAGGGCTGGGAGCATGGGGGTGACATGTAGCGGAGAACAGTGGCTAGATGCGTGATTCCTCCGAAGATAGGCCTTTTGACACAGGAGATGTAATCACAAGCTCTACTTCCCAAAGTGCTGCTTCTCACATTTGACAATCCTGCATTTGTTGGTGCAGTTGACTAATTGTTTGCACAGTGTCTGTTTCACTCACGTAGCATTTGCACCTGTCATTGGACTAGCTAAAACTGTCCCTGCCCTTTGGTATTGGGCCACTCTGCTGATACCGTGTGTTATAAATATTACAAGGACAAGAGAAGTTTATACTACAGTTTATACTACTGCATCACAGTTTTACTGACAATCTCATTTCCTTTATTTTCTGTAGTCTCAGAAGTGAATTAGAACTTTAGGTCAAGTTATCGAGGTTATAATAAAACACAGCCAGTACGTCTACGTTATTTAAAATGTGCCCCATCAGAAGATGTGCTGGTAGAAGTTACACAGCTTCAATTGGTGTTGGTTGAGTGAAAAAAGAGGAGTGGTAGCTTTCCAAATGAAAATGACTGGAGTTGGACATACTCTCTGCTCATGTCCAATCCCTGCTGTCCTTGAGCCAACTGAAATAGAGGGAAGCATCCTGTGGTTAGGGAAAAAATAGTGCAAGAAGGGAAATTCTGGATCCTCACATTTCACTTGAATGTCACTGATATATTTGGAAGCATCTGTCTTCCCCTTTCACCCAGAGGCCTGCTTGTTTACTTTGGCCTGTCGAGGGCCACACATTTCCTGTAACCCCAAGTCTATCAAAAGACATGGCCTATGCTCAGTTGCAGACACGCCTCATGAGTTTATCATTTAGTTACATTTTCTCTGGCATCATGTCCCAGTTTGCAGATAAATTCTTGGAGTTTACATAGTGTGCTGGTTAGTTTTTGACAGCCTGACACAAACTAGAGTTATTTGGGAAGAGATAAATTTGAGTAAGTTGATGCCTCCATCAGATTGGCCTGTAAACAAGTCTGTAGGGGCATTTTCCTTTTTAATGGTTGATATGAAGAGCTCAGCCATTATGGGTACCAACCCCAGTTGGGTGGTTCACTAAGCAGCGTCCCTTCATGGTCTCTATTACTTGCCTCAAGCTTCCTGCCTTGAGTCTGCTATGGCTTGTAGTCAGTGATGGACTGTAGCCTCTAATCCAAATCCTTTCTTCCCCCAGTGGTTTTGGTCAGTGTTTTATTACAGTAATAGGAAGCAAACTAGGACAGACCATTTCTTCATCCATAAAATACAATATGTGTTTAGGAAAGGAGGAAGTACTGCTTAAGTATGTTTTTCCCAAAGTGCCACGCATAGAAGTTGATTATGTTCTTTGCTTCGGGTGACACTCATCACACTTGCGTGTGTCACACATAGCTCAAACTCAGAACATTTTCTTGGCTCCGTGTTCTTTATAATACATTATTATTTCAAAAACACACAGACAATACCTGCTATAGGGAAAGCATGGCTCTAAGTACTCTACAACTCTTAACTCTTTGACCCTTGCAGCACTCTCAGAAGAAAGATATTGTCAAAGATAACACACATAGTGCTGCAAAGACTAGGTGACAGATTTGTATTCTGGTCTTCAGTAAGCTTGGTCTATACATTTGCAGACAGCAAGAGACAGCTAAGTTGTAAGTGTCTCCTTCTCCTCCTCCCTCGACCATCCTCCATGTCTTGTCTTCATTTTCTTCTTTCTCTTCTTGGACTGTCTTGTGTACTTTGGCTGATCTTGGACTCTTAATCAACTTGCCTCAACCTCCTGTGAACTGCAATTGGGTACGTGCCATCATGCCCTGCTAAGTATATTTCTTCTTTCCATAGATATCATTAAAGATTTTGATTCTGCACTACAGTCCATTGATTTAAATATCCTCACTTGCTAAGTATGTGGCATGTACAGTGTTCTGGGATAGACACTAGAGATGAACCAACAGGGAAAGCAAGGTTCAGAAGCTGCTGACATGAGGAAGAGATATAACATCCTTCTTAAACACTGATTGTGCTGGATAGTTTTATGTCAATTTGAGACAAACTATACTCATCTGGGAGGAGGAATCCTCAACTGAGAAATGCCCCCAATAAGACTGGTCTGTAGGCAAACTTGTAGAGCATTTTCTTAGTTAGTGATTGATGTGAGATGATGGCTCAGCCTACTGTGAATGGTGCCACCCCTGGGCTTGTGGTCCTGGGTTCTATAAGAAATCAAAGGAACAACCCAGTATGCAGCACTCCTCCATGGCCGTTACATCAGTTTCGGACTCCAGGTTCCTTCCCTATTGGAGTTCCTGTTCTGACTTCTGTTGATGGTGAACATAAGCCAAACATTTGGGAGCATAAGCCAAATAACCTGTTTGCTCCCCAACTTGCTTTGTTAATGGTGTTTCATCACATCAATAAAAACACCAAGTAATATACTGATAGAAATATCTAACACAATTAAAATGTCCAAGATAGATAGAGACTGAATGTTTTGGGATGGTTTGGAGTTTGATGGATCAGTGAGATGATAAAGACCTTATAGGCCGAAGGACTTTATATGGAATATATAGAGAGCAAGTGATATATAAAGAGCAAAAGGGAAACTAGGTATGGAAACTAGGTCACATAATTGGGTTATGTGACCAGCAATAGAAAGCAGCTTCTTACAGCCTTGTGCTGTGTGACAAAGAAGTAGATTTGGGGACAGGGCAGATGCCTCAGTGGTTAACAGCAAGTGCTGTTCTTCTGGAGTTGGGTCTCAGCACTCATGTTAGGTGGCTCTTAATCCCCTCAATCTCCAGCTCCAGGAGACCTGATACGCTTTCCTAGCCTCCACAGGGACTATATGTAAGTGCACATAGACACTCATATATATAAACAAAAAAAATCTTTTGAAAACAAGTGAAATCAACCTAATCCGCTAATGGAAATAGCGGTTAAGAAATTAAATACTGAAAACCATGGGGATCTTATGCTTCCCAATAGCTACCATTCAAAGTGATTTCCTCTCCTTTCCAGCACCCCATTGGCCTCCTCTTCTTTGACCTCTTATATCTCTTGCCTGACCATTGACCAGTCTTATCACCTTCAACAAAAAAACAAGTTCATTTTACCAAGGCTCGCTTTTGAGTCTCAGAAAAATACTCAGTATCTGCCACTAAGATATTTAATTTGATTATTAAATTTAGTAATGAATTTAAATTTCTGCCACTTTTCTACTTATGTATCCAAAAACCCCCTTTACTCATGGAATAGCCTAAGCACTGTACTGAGAAATAAGAACATGTGTTTGGGAGAGCAATAAGCTACTATGGGGAGAACCTTGAATTACTGAGTCACAGCAGCTCTTGTTGGCAATCACTTGAGACTCTCCCACACTGTTGAAGAAGCCATCAAGTTTTGATCTATCGTAACTGAGAAAAATAACAGAGTAGGAGTCATTTTTGCCATCCCTGCAGCAAAATACCAGACAAAAATCAACTTACTTTGCCTTACAGTTTGGAGGTACAGTCCATCGTTGTCAGGAAGGCATGGCCATGGGGACATGCAAAAGCTGGTCATACTGTGTATAGCTCTATGGTAATGGGGACATGAAAGAGCTGGTCATATTGTGTATAGCTCTATGACACAGAGAGAAATGAATGCTGGCACGTGGCTTGCTTCCTGCTTATATACAGTTCAAAAGTCAGAGCCGACGGAATGATGCTGACAGCCAAGGGCAAGGCTTCCCACCTCAGCTTAGTCAATGTAGCAACTCCCTTGCATCCATGCCCAGAGGTTTGTGTGCCATGGGATTCTAGATCCTGCCAGGTTGGCAATCACAATTCACAGTCGCAGACAGACTGACTGCCTTTCAGCTCTGAGTGTTTTTGTTTTTGTTTTTGTTTTTTTTCTTTTAACAGTGTCCTGTCCTCTCCGAGTCCATGTCCTATATCATATTTGCCTAAATCTGATTAGATGGTAGGGTAGTTGGGACTCCTCTGATGACAGTCATTACTGTTAATTTCTGTTTCCAGCTACTCTGTCTTTCCAGGCAGCAGTTTCCCCCGAGGAGCTCTGTGTTTTTAAACATTCATTTCGCCATAACAGCGAGAGTTACTCAGCTGACCTTCAGTGCTTGCCTGAGATTTTCGTCGTCCTTGTCAGTGAATAGAGAGTTGCTGTGTTTCATTCCCAGAGGAAATGGGAAGGATGACTTTCTGAACAGCCTTGGCGTGTGTTAACGATGCCCTTTAATGGGAATGTATTATGTTTTCACCTTGAGTTTTTATGTTTTCTTTCTTTCCTTAGATCGAAGAGTTGATTGAGACACACTTTGGCAGTCACAGCAGAAGGGCCATCCTCTTCAGGTCTCCTTCACACAGCAGACCAGAGCTTCAGACCCTCCAGCACCTCCTTGGTCAGCATGGCTACAGTGTTGTCACTGTTGAAGAAAGACTTGGTACTGGCCTAGGTCTGGAGCTGTTGGACCAAGGTCAGAATGATAAGTAACTCTCAAACTTAACTCCACATGTGAACAGTTTCTAGAATGTGCTGCTAAATTTCTTCCTCTCAAACTGTTTCACAAAACAGGATTTCATCCACGGTCAAATATTTCATATCGTACACACTTAGCTTCCTTGTTTCTTTTTATTACCTTTCTCAATTTTCTTTAGTTGTTTCTCTTTATTCTTGAAATTATTCTGTTTGTATTTCGGTAGCATTTTGGAGTCACATAGTTCATATTTAAATGCTACATTAAAAATGTTTATGTTTATGTGCTTGAATACATATTCTGCCTAGCACCAAACCGCTCCATATTTTAAGGAAATTGCCACTTCATTTGATGGCAAGTAGGATGTGCTGGAAATTGCTTTGCAAAGCCAGTTGAAATGGGATTCACAGATGGTTCTAAATATGAACGTGGTAAGGACATTTATTGTACATGCCATTAGTCATCAAGTACTTTCTCGTTTCTATCATTTGAAGAGAAAAATAAGAGACAAGGCTAAAGAAATTATTTGAAAGAAAATTGAGTGCGTGAAGAAGGCTGAGAGTAACAGCTGCTATCTCTCCAACAGGGCAGGTCCCATGCTATACTCTGTATTCATGACCTCGTTCAACACTCTCTGTCACTGCCTGATTAAAATTAAGAAAAACGAACTCTCTTCACATTCCAAGAAAGGAAACTGAGTCTTTCTGGGAAGAAATGGCCCACAATGATGTGAGGGAAGGATGGATGGGAGACTCTGAGACCCACTCCCATTTCCTAGGTTCTTCTCTGTTCCTCTGCTGCCTGAGTCTCTGGGGGCTCATTAGTCCTGCACAGAACTCATGGGAGCTAAGACTGATGCAGACTAAGCATTCAGCATAGGCTAGTCACAGTTTCTTTTTTATTGTGACACAATATAGCCATCCCTCAAATGTCCATAGAAGACTGGCTCCAGGACTCCCTGCAGACACCCAAATCCCTCTTATAAAATAGTGTAGTCTTTGCAAATAACCCCCACACACGTACATTTTGAATTATTTCTAGATCATTTGTTATACCCAATACAACATAAATAAAACACACATCATTGTTATGTACTGGGCATTATCCAGGGGCTAATGACAATACAAAACTGTTCACTTTCAATGCATGTGTGAGAACTAAAAATTTGTCAAAGAATTTGTGGAAGAGGGACTCCAAATGCGGAAAGTTTGTGTGTGCATCTACTTTCCTTTTTTTTTTCCTATAAGAAATGGAAAAGAAACAATTTGAATTAACTGCTGTTTTCAATGGCAGTTTTCTTTGAAAGCAGAGTAAGCTTCTGGTGCCCCAATACTTTTGCAATGCGCTAACGAGCTTGCTTCTCATTCAGTGTGGTTCCCTTTGCTGGCCTATGGGGGTGAAAGAAAATTGGAAAGATGTTTCTGAGCATGGTGGATGATTCTTGGCCTTGATCACCCTTCACACTTGGCTGGCGAAGCTTTCCGGGAACAGAATCCATGAAAATCATTCGATGAGAAGGTGTTGAGAGGGTTGTTCGTAAGGCAGGCCTCTGTGAATGCCGACTCCAGGTCTCTGTCCTGGAGGAGTGGCTTAGAATCTAAACCAGTGGCCCTCTGCCTACAAATAAGAAAAACATAAAGGAGTATATAAGCCCTGGAATGCTGATAAGAGAACAAAGTTGGTGAACTTCTTCGAGTTTTGCTGGGTTTGGGTCTATGAAATGGGAGCAAGCTAAAGCTGCACAGCCTTTGGAAGTGTCGTCATCGAAACCGCATTAGAATAAGAATTGGATAAAAGATATATAAAAAAAATGTTTAGCATCTCTCTCCTTCCACACTGAGTGGGGTGATTGCATTACCATGGCTCGCTGTGTGGCCAGCATTCAAGTGTGCCTGGTGACGTGCTACTGTGGTCTAAAATCCCTATACCCCATGCTGTCTTAATGCTACCCCTAACTTAGTGTGAATTCATTATGGATTATCTGTGCCTCTCACCTTCAATTCAGTTTAAAAATTTCTCCAGCTGCAAAGCAGATGGTTTGCATCGCCTCTCTCTCTTGATATCTGTGGGTCTGTTTGACACAAAATAGGGAGGATTACTTTGTAACTTCCAAGTAGTATGAAAGTGCAAAGTAGTATGAAAGTGCAAAGGCAGCTTGAAGCAATAGAATCTGGCAGCTGCACTAGCTGCTGGGCCTATGACCAGTGCTAACTGTGTAATGTCACCAGCGCTTGTCATGTAGACGATGACTCTCCCACATTCCCCCAGCTTTGAAAAACATCTTCCCAGCTCAATTTAGCACTCCTTTCCTCTGTTACCTACTGCCTGTGGCAATAGGATCAATTTCACAAGATGTGAAGTATGGAAATTGATTTTGGTGTGTAGATTTCATTTTTAATTTTTTTCACCGTGGAGCACTGTGCAAAGAACGCCTGAAATAAAACAGCCCTATAATTCTAACCCAACATATGTCATATATGGAATTAAAAGAGAAATTACAGCTTAGTTTATAGGACCACCAATTTAACCTCTAAGCTATATTTGAATTGTACATGCTATGCACTGCAGAAATACTTTTCCTGATCGGAATTCTCACGTTTCCTTTGCTGGCACATGGTCTACTGCCTCCTGCGCATCAGCAGAGAAGGAAGCTACATTGATGTGTGTGAACTTATGCCCCCAGGCTGAGCAGCTTGGAAGTGGAAACTGCTTAAAAGGACCTGGAGCCCTGTGCTACATGCCTTTTATTTTACCATTGCACTTCTTCCTTGTATTAACCTGCAATCTGAAATTAAAACCAAAGTAGGTGCCCCTACCCACACTGTGGAGTGCACAGGTGAAGGGTTGATGTGTTGATAAAATGAATTCATGGACAAAGAAAAGTAAGTATGAGGCCTATTTTCCTTTAAAATACAAAAAAAAATTACTTTTACCTGTTCTCTCTTGTCCTGACTTCACCCCAATCATTCTGCTGACATCTCTTTTTGTGCCTTTTTCTAGTCTAGAGCCATTTTTAAAAGCCTTTGTAGGATGATAAAAATAATAAAAGTTAGAATATATATATATATATATATATATATATATATATATATATATATATATGTGTGTTCAGGGGCCCAGCCACACACCTGTTTATATTATATTTA